TGGTGTCCCAGAGCCTAACCGTCCGGTCGTTCGCGCCCGACGCCAGTAGCTTACCGTCCGGCGAGAAGGCCACGGCGTTGACCGAATCCGAGTGGCCCTCGAGCGTCTGCTTTACCTCGCCCGAGCTAGTGTCCCAGACCCTGACCGTCCCGTCGTCCGCGCCCGACGCCAGTAGATTACCGTCCGGCGAGAAGGCCACGGCGTTGACCGAATCCGAGTGGCCCTCGAGCGTCTGTAGTGACGCATCCCATTTTTCCTGAATCTTTGGTAGTCTTCGCATCCATTGATGCGCACAGTCGCTGAATTGCTTCTTCACTATACTCTCCATAGGTGCGAATACAAGCGCACTGCAATATATCTGGAGTGGAGCCTGCTCGATCGCTGACCGGCTGTACAGGGTGAATCGTTTAGCATCATAGACAAACTTAGATAGTTGGGGACACTTCTGTGACTAAGTTTTCTATTAGCTTCATATGGGCGCTTTCTTACAGTTCGACTTACCGTTGCCATAAGATTTAGCGTAGAAATGTTATGAATTCCTTCCGCCACCTTCCCCACCCATGCAAGAGCCTCTAGCCAGTGAAGAAGATGGTCCCGCAAGAAGCGGTGCACTGGGCCATCGTCGTGAAGCTGATCGTCGCGAAGCTGATCGCCGCTCTTCTGAAGGTGCTGAATCCAGTAGCGGCATGCGTATTGCATTTCAGGAGGAAGATGCTGCTCCACTTGCTCCCTGTTAACCTCCGTCACTAGCGTACCTGGTCGGCTGGTATCACATATCGCAATAAGCGCCTTTGGCCGGACAATGCGATCTTCCTGCCCGAAACATCTGGACATGAGCTGAATGCATTTTGTAGCCAGAGTAAGATGCGCTTCCTTCTCGTCCACCCAAAACTCTGCGGATCTTGTCTCTGCGTAAAGGAAATCCCGGAATGAAGGGTGATGTAAACGGAGTGGGGCGCTTATATCCTCTGGAATGTCCAGAATCGCGTGGAGATCATATAGTGTCTGATCGACTCCATCTTGAAGTAGCTTAGTTAAGGACTGGGTAGAAAGCGGAGAGAGCAGAGTCACGATGTTTCCAAGTAAGCTTTTCAGTATGGATTGTGGCTCTTTTCTCTCTCCATCCGGATACTCTGAAATGCAGTGGCGAAGAATAGCGATATACATTTCGCTTAAATGCCCCTCTGGCCCGTTGACTGTAGAGCTGCCGTGCTCCAAGATCTGATGAAGTCTCTTTGCAGCAACCCTCTTCCCTTCGCGGATGAAGCGGTATGCAGTTGCTGCCCAGATAAATAGACCGCTTGCCTTCTGGACAAGGCGCTTGATGATCTCCTCTCCTGGCCAGCCAGCGGGGAGGGAGCGTTCCTGGGCGATAAGTTTGAGGTTGTGTTCCAGGAAAATACGGATGTCGTGATTAACAACCGACGGCAATATACCGTGCAGAATAAACTCCTGGTGCTCGGCGTCGGGCATTTGGATAAAGCAGTTCCTGATTGGAACCTCAGGTCTGCTGGTCAAGAAAACTCGAAGCTGAACCCTTTCCAATGCCTGAGCTTCGGCTAAGAGTTGTAGAATGGTCCGGACATTGTCCTCATCCTCGCACTCGTCGAGAGCGTCAATCACAAGAATATATCGGAACAGGCAGCTGTCGCCTGGCAGCACCGAGAGTGGTCCGATAACGAGATGGCGCCACTGATCGCGGAGCGACTGACCTGCGATGTCTCCATGGTTGACAACTGAGTCGCAAATCGGCCGCTTCAGACCTGGCACTTTGTACGCAAGTTGCACTGCTATGCTCGTGACGAACCAGCGAGCATAACCAATATCCCCGCCGCCTCTTGAGAAGAAGAAGCTTGCTCCCAGGGCTTCCTTCTCAGAGTATCTGGAGGCAACAGTCCGCGCGATGGTAGACTTGCCAGTGCCGGCCATACCACTCAGCCAGAAGATGCTGGGTGAGTTTTTTCCATCAGCCCAGTCATATATCTTTCGGAGGAGATTGCTACGGGTATCGGGAAGGCAGGTCGGGTCGTGTTGTCGCTTGTATGCGTTGAACGGCGCGTCTGCAGCGATAGGAAGGGAATTGAGCACATTGTTTAGGTCTAGACGACAGATTAGCTTCTTCTCATAGCGAGCAAAACTCAATATACACTCGCTTTCGTTGTTTCCCAGATACACTGGTCCGTGGAAGGTACCCACTGCGGCCCGTGAATGGTCGTTGACGGATACGCGGCTGATGTCTTGAGTGCTGCCCGCCATTGGCTTCGGAGCGGTACAACAATGCTAGGCCTTGCTAATGGGGGAAGGATCAGCGCCGGTACTAACGCGGTCGTTGCGATGCGTCAAGAAGGTTTGCATTGCTCTGCAGTCAACTGTCATTCACCAATTCTTGTTCGAAATAAGGAGAAAATGCCGCCGTGAGTGGCAGCTTGATAAATGCACGACTATTCGTTGCAGCCCCGCAACGCCTTCAGCTGAGAAGCAACCCCACCACCTCGACTACGAAGTACCATCGCCTGCTTCCCTCGACAGCCGGATTCTCTGCTTCGTTCAGAACTCCCTTCGTCGACTTGTCATCTGCCCGGGAACGTCTCAATTCTACTGTTACCATTCCTCTGGTTTTGTGTGGCTGTTACTCAGCAATCAGTGAGGCCGAGCCCCGGAACTCATGGATCCCCTCAGTATTACTGCAAGCACCATTGGTATCACGCAGTTTGCTATCTCCAGCATCGTCCAACTCCATGATTTTATTGATAATCTCGTCGAAGCGAAAGAGCTGGTCCAAGACATTGCTTCCAACTTAGAGGGCGTACAGCGCCCGTTGGCCGCTCTGGAGGAACTCACCATTTCGGACCCGACGACTTATACCGCAGCCAAAGCGGATCTGGAGAGAACCGGGGTTAGCGAGGCCGTGAACAACTGCGGCGAGGCATGCGCCAAGTTTACGAACAACTTGAAGCAATGGACAAAACATTCCAGCGACGTGAAATTTTCACTCCGGGATCGCTTATCAGTCGGAATATGGAATAAAGAGAAAATCCGGACATTCCGAATGCAGGTTCAGTCTTGTCAGGCTACAGTTCAATTTGCGATTGCAAGTACCCAGCTGTAGGCGCCCCGTTATATACCACGCTTACGGAGCGTGTGCTGACATTCCAGAAAGAATCGTTCAACTCCGTTCTGAATATAAGTCGCAGACTGATCGCGAGAAACTGATGATAGAATTCCAGGCTCTAGAGGCGAGAATCCAGGAGCATATGAATCTAACTAAGGATCAGCAAGATGAAGCACAAAGACGTAGGCAGGACCTACAGAGCAAGCTAGCCGACGAAGAAGATGGTGGCGCACAGCGAACTCTAGCTCTTCAGGAGGTTGAAAAGCAGTCACGCTTACTAGAGGCTGATCAAGTTTCCTCTGCGGTTGTCTTCTCCCAGGTGCGATCCAAACGGACGGGTCAGTATATTGTCAACGTCATGACTTCCGATGGGTCAAGGGCTTTGGTTGGATTGCCAGAGAGTGTCGTCGGAAAAGTTGACCAGCGGATCAAAGATATAACGACGCAGAAAGATTCCGCTGCAGTTATAGGAGTTTTCGATAAGAGTGTTGATATGAGAGACTTCTTCAAGTAGTCATTATAGCTATCAAGACCTTGCAGAAGGAGAGTAGTCGCATATTGCTTGAAAATGGATACAATTGACGCACATTGAGATTTGTGTTGTGTCACGACACGTATAGGGTGATTCGCAAGTACTATAGCGGCCAACGTCATGTAAGGAGTCCCATGTTGCGACCCTCCTGTCCATACTTCTAAGGGACATCCTTAATTCAGTAAGGCACGGAGGGGGACGGCGTACCATTTTTTGGTGCCATTTTGGTAACAGAAGATTAGATCGTCCTAGATTCTCCTGCGAATATTAATACCAAGACCGTACAGTATTAGAAATACCGCAGTAATCTCTGCTCGCTGATGATTCGTTGTTGGAATAAAGAAACTATGGCTGATTCAAAAAAGCGTGGCCCGCTTATGTCCTAGCTTTTAGCGGGAGAAAGCTTCAGCAAAGGGGAGGGCAGTTTCGGGAAGCTCTGTACTCTCCATAACTCTGCCCGTCGCAGTCGACATTGACAATGTTACCGTGATTCGAAAACTGGCAGCGTCCGAATGCTTCCGCAGCCCGGCAGCCTAGCCTAGTAACTCGATCCTTGCCATGGCGCTGTCCGTCGTGTAAGCTCCTCAGGATGTAACGACACCACCTGCTGTCGAGTGAGTTTGAAAATACCACCGGCGATGGTATTCCCCTATTCTGTGACGATCACTAACTGAGGCTTCCACCGCGGTACCGTGGCCGTACATGGCCTCGGCGGTGATGCCATTGCCACCTGGACGCACCCGAAATCGAAAGCGTTCTGGCTGAAAGATTTCCTCTCGCCACGCATCCCCGATGCTCGCATCATGACCTTTAGCTACGACGCAGCCGCCGTGTTTGGACAGTCAACCGCGGAGGTGATTCATCACGCGAAGATCCTACTGCCAGCCTGGTAGACAAGAGAGAAGAGCCAGAGGTACAGGGGAGAGACAACGAGGGAGTGAGGAAGATGGTGATGTTGACACTGAATTAGGAGGTGCAACGTCCCCAAATATTCATCGCACACTTGCTCGGCGGGATCCTGGTGAAACAAGTATGCAGGTGGTGGGAGGATCGATGGAATCTATCAGCGGCTGGTGATTTCCTAGGCTCTCCTCCAAGTACGACTAGAGCCACTGTACGAGTGGATCAAGGTAGCCATGGTAGCCATCGTGGGTCTCATCTTCCTAAGCACACCGCATCGGGTAGCGAACTCGGACGTCTTGCTGCGGTTGACAAGTGATTTCAAGCTTTAGCTGTTACTGTTTTCCTATGCTGAGCAGCAGAGTATTGTTCCGGCTGAGACGCCGGAATGGAGACAGCCGAACGGGCACGACCGATTTCTGGGCGTTATGGTCTCACAAGTGTGGTAATTTTATACAATATGCAGGTATATGGGTAGCCCAGCATCCATCTAATGAGCGATGTGTGCGACTGACAGGGCTGCCAAGCCAATGTAATGACTGTCACGCTAGGTCTTCGGCCGAAGGCCTTCGGACTAGCGTTAACAGGACCCTGTAAATTACTCGAAGGTATATAGTCAGACGGTCCCCAGGACCTGGTAGAATTCACCATGTTCCTCTATTAAGTCATATCTGGTAGTAACGCCTTAGATAGCCCTCGCTCGAAGGCCTAGGCTGAGGCCCTTATAGGCCTCTATCTCTTTAAACGGCAAGAGATAGTCTTCGATCTATTAGAGGGTCGAGTTCGAAAGGACTCGAGCCCCCAAAACCTATATATTCGGCGTGAGGAACGACGAGGTTCCTTCGACACTATCGCGACCTCGATAAAAATCTCTTCTCCCTCTGTAGCGACGCTCTCCTTCCACGAGAGAACGAAACTAGCCTCTCGGAGCGAGTCTGTATCGAAGGCCGATTAAATAGCTTCGGCCTGAAGAAAAGGGATAATCGATGGACGTATTCGGATTTGTTCCCTAGGGAACTATCGCTTTTAGCCTAGTTCGCCTACTCCTAGTCTACTAACGATATTTCGTAGCGCCCCGAGCGCGAGGCCTATTCTACCTACGGAGATTAAACGACTTCTTCTACTTAGGAAGGAAGGTAGCGAAATAGGGTCTAGCGAAGCCCGAACTAGACTAGTCTTCGATTATCGAGGGCGAACTAGAGAAGATAAAGGATCTAACGGCGACGATATCTCGCGGATCTACGGAACCTATCCTATCGTTACCCTATATAAGACGGCGAATAAGTCCTAATCTAATCCGTAGTTACGAGACTAAGTTCGCCGAATGGCGCGTCCGACGGTATCGATAAGGAAGGTCTAGGAACGGAGGATCTAGATTAATAGTATAGCTACTCGGAAATTAAGCGGTCTCTCCTAAAAAGGGGAATATCTATATCTTTCGAAACCGGTTCGAAAGCCTCTACTAGATAGAGAACGTACTATAAAACCGCCTATTATATTCCGAGAGCTATTAATCGAAGCCGAAATCTAGTATTTCTCCTTACTCTATATATCTAATATATATATATTCGCATTAAAGTAACACTTTAATCCTTTATCTCTCTATTTATATTCATCTTGAAGTATCTTAATCTATATCGGAAGATTATATCGAACTCTAACGGCCGTCACTTATCGAGAAATAAGACTCTAGAAGGGGTTTAAAGTAACCTTACGTAAATCTAGTAGGGCCTACGGTCGATTAGCGAACGTCTCGGAATAGTAATAAGGCGAATATCGAAAAATAGCGACGAGATAGTCGAGAATAATCTAGTATCTATAGTACTAGAGCTCGCTGAAGCTCTATAACGGCTTCTCGCCGCGTAAGCTATCCTTTTATAGATAACGCTAGGTACGACGAGAGCGCCGTCTTTATCTTAAGGCTCCGCGGTCTATCTAGCTTCTTGTTACGGCACCACCCCGAAGCCCTCGGATTGCGCCGAACAGGAAAGATCTGGCTAGATCCTATAATAGGAGAGATCTAGCTAGATTCCATAACTATTAAGAGAATAGATATAAGGCTCTAGCGGAGCCTTACTATAACTCCAACACGTAACGACTCTACTAATATCAAACCTCTTATAGTCTACGAAGTCCTTATATCCGACTATTAAAATACCCTTATATTATACTAGACTACTTTACGATAATCGAAGAGCCTAGACTACTAAGTAAGGGGGAATATTTCACTCGGAAAGATATATAGAACTCGAGAAGAGCCCGAATTCTCCTTCGAGCTCTTTATCTCTTATCTTATACTCTACCGTATATTAAGATAGTAATATTAGGACTCTTAAGCCTCCTATATACGTTCGAAGCTCTCTAAAGCCCCTTAGAGTCTTTTCTCGGTCCTTATCCCTAATATTACGAGAGACTACTCTTTACTATAAAGCTATCTATAAACCCGACCACCGCGATAAACCTAGTCGACTCTCAAATCGAACAGCGGCTCTAGGAACTTACGTAACTCGCTAGTAATAACCTAATGGAATTCATTTAGACCTTTAAACGTGGATAATAACGTTAGGAAACCCCTACCTTAACGCCTCCTTAGACTACTCTAGACCTCTAGATAGATTAGCTCCTTATTACCCTCTAGAGTCTCCTTAGATAACCTCGCTAACCTACGGAATCTACCCCGGTACGACGAGATAATATTAAAGTTACCCCGTATACTAGAGATCCTAAGACTCTCTACCGCTTCCTCTCGGAACTAACCTCGAAGGTTAATCTAGAACGATAGAATACCGAGACTAAGAAGCTTATTATCGCCGAAAGTCTCCTAGCTAAAGGAGAACGAGCCGATCGACTTATAGAATCCTACCGGACCTTAGGACGAATAACTATTAGAATCTTTAACTAATAGAAATAGTATCTTATAGAACTCTATAAGGATATCGGAGCTTAGAATCGGGCGAACCAATAGCTACTAGACTTCTATTTCGATAAGATAAAATATCGAAACTACGTCGAATACTTCGCCGAGTTCTACGTTATCGTAGATAAGATCTCGCATTCTAATACTACTAAATATAATTAGCTAGTTCGAGACACTCCCGTCTAGCTTCGACGACTCGCTCGACCTCTCTTATTAGGATATAAGAACCTCTTCTAGTATCCTCTTATAT